ATTATTACTCCTATGTAAAGTGAAAAAGAGACTGTTGTGTTCTTCAGATGGTGCTCGTCATTTTGATACCGAATTCATCCCAGGTGGGTCAGCTTTGTTGAATGTCATTTTTACATGGAAAAGCTCCTTTGAGCCAAAGTATAGTAAAACTAATAGGATCTGAGCCTTGTCACTTAACGTTCCTTTTCTACAGAGCTCACCCCATTGACGAGAAGTTTTTGAAGTTCCTACCTAGCACCGGCTGTCAATTTCGAGGCCTTGAATCAGAGAGAAATTCACATTTTTTCATGGAAAGAAAACAGTACAAAAAGTATACCATTGAAATCCTCGTTAAAAATGCTTTACATCTCCTAAGTTCACTGTTGTTTACTTGGGTTCAGTTTATTACTATTCTTGTGCTTGATTTGTAAACAATGGCTACCTAGATATAACAAATAAAAATAAAAAATAACAAAAATCGCGATTTTATTTACTTGTTTATTATTTCGCCAATTCCTGATTTTTGATCCATACTTGTGAGGGGGGTTCCCATAACATGTGCAGCTTGTGATTAGTGGGGGTCTGAGGGCGATGCTAGATAAGGGTCGTTTATGAATACTAAAGATGGTCCGCGTCCCGTCCCGTGCGTAATTTCCTCTCCTTAGATGCCTTTGACTGGCTGACGGCAACGACGGCCGCGACCGTTTTGGAAATGTGGAAATGGCCTTTCTCGCAAACGCCATAAATAACGGACATTCGTCGGAGCGGCGACGATTTGAAGTCGCCGACGTGGCGTCTTCAGCGCCCGTTGGCGTTGTGGACGCCGTGGAGGCCGGCTGACGGCTCACACCATACACTTTTATTGGCACCCATAAACCAAGTGAACTATAGCCAGCCAGCCAGCAAACGAGCCAGCCCGAGAGAACCCGAAAGCCTACCCAGCCCAGCCCGGCGCCGTCAATCTACACAAGGCGTTTCCCGAACGGAAATTCATTTCCTCATCATCCATCATACTGTAGCCGTAGGGGATTTATTATGGTGAGAATGCAATGAATGAAGAAACGACTAGCGGTGGAGCTGACGGCTGGATAAATCGCTTGCTGCTTCGAGAGATGAATAGCCGGAGTTGTGAAATCGGGTTGTAGTTGGGCCGGACCTGAACAGGGGTTGACGAGCTGTAGTCGTGATTGATTTTACAAATGTTTAAGCCTATAGAGGGGAGGAAACAGTCGAAATGATTCAGTTTCAGTGGAAACACTCAGTAATATTCGAAGAGTCAGCTGAAGGAAGAACACATCTGAGAACCTAATGGCACATCTATTACGACTTTCAATATACGTGCTTAGCAGTCATTCATCTGGGATCACCTAATTTTTGACATCATGTTAATTTCAAACTACAGCGTTAATTTGGCTCTTCAGGGACTTCCCCAGCGAATCACCAGCTCTTTGGCAATGTTAGAACTTCAAGAACGCTGAAAGCCAGTGAAGTCTAAATGCTTACAGCGAAGAGGACTGTCGGCTCTCTGTACGGCGACTTCTTACCACAGATTCGCCTCGACAAGTCAGAGGGATAACTAGAAATCCGGTCCTGTGCTGTCGGTCTGTATCTTGTGGGAAGGTGCTTTCCATAACTCATAGGTATGCAATATGCTTGGCATTCTCGGCACGAAAGGTGTCCACGGATGCACGGAATTGACGTTTTCATGTCTCAGGCAGAGCCCTGCGAGCCGCCTATTCTTATGCGACTGTCAGTCATTGTTTTGTGGGGCTTTCATTACCCGTCCTGTCAACCTGGGCCTGAGGCACTAAAACCATTTTTGTAATTTCTGCAGCACACGGTCAAACCTCGGCAGGGATTGAATTTACGGCTTCCAGAGGTATCTAATCCCATAAACTCGCTAATTTGCCGCTAACGACCGAAAACGCTTGAAGAATACCGTAATAACTTCGTATAGCATACGGATTTTCGGTTCTCTCTTCGTTTATTGGTAAAGGATTTTGATACGCTGGGCAGGAACGGATGCACGGCGCAAGTCCAAAGGGATGTTAGGGAATTCTCTATCTCTACGTTGAAATCACTCATTACTTGTTCTGCCAATAGAAAAACGGAGATAGAAGGATAAAGCTTTCAACCTCTTTCAACCCCTTTTTGAGGTGCGCCACGCATTCTGCCTCCATTCGGAATCGCAGCAAAGATTGAATGGGCATATGCAGGTTGGCAGGGTGAGCAAGGATTGCAGGTCCATGATTTGTTCAACAATCAACCAAGCAGACAATCGAAGATGTAAGGGCTGGGCCTCGATGAGATTCATGCGAGTCAACACCCTGCAACGTGCTCGGTGGAAACCAGCGCATTTGCCACGACATCACCACCGCCTCATAGAAGAAAATATATTAGAAAATTAGGCAGATTCACTGGTCTTGTTTGAGAAGCAAAACCGCTGGTAGGTGACACTGGGACTAAGCCCAAGAGAGGGGAGGAACGCCAGAGAGAAAAAATTACTGAAATGTTCTCCTAGAATCCCTTCCCCTTCCTCAAGCTTACCATCAGTCCTAGGTACCGTAGTGGCTCACTCACGTGAATGTTCCCCCTCCCCCTTCTCCAACGACATGAGCGCCGAAAAACATTTATCTAAAAATAATCAAGGCTCTTTCTGCATTGACGAGACCTCTGAACTGAAAACTACTAGGGTTTTGAACCCATAACCCTGTTCTCCGGCCCCTATTCCCTCTTACTGTATTGCATGTTTCCCAGCAAAGCGCTAACCCCCGCGTCCCGAGGTGTCCGAGTGAGGCCATGTCGTAATCACACAAGAGTAGTGGCGGCAGACGAGATTCGTGTGTACAAAACAGAACCGCGATGACCCTTGAGGTCGTAAAACTTGAAAGACGCCGCTTTGATGGGAATACTGTGGCGAACGCGGAGACCCAGAGTGTCGGCAAATCCGAATGTTCCACGGGTTTGTTATACAACCCTGCGCGCGGGGCGCGGCGGATTAGGCGCCAACGACGGATTTACGTCCGCGGCGAGGATCTCAAGGAATGTCACACCTCTGTTCCAGGATCGATTCTATTCGAATTGTACCCGGATGAGTTGGGAGGGGCAAGGAATGATGCTGATCCCTGGCTTCTCTAAGGCAAATGAAAAGGTTGATGAAGCAGCTAGACGAGTCAGCAGCGCCACAGGTGTGCCGGTGTGTCGTGTCGTTAACGATCGCGACGCGATTCGAACGATCGCCTATAAATCGCCACGGCGAAACGTTAACGACCCAGGCCGCATATGTCGTCGACGACTGCATTACGATTGCCCGAAACGACTCCCCTGACAACCGCATTCTGAACGAACACTTAGTGCAGACCCTAAGAGACCTCGCCATGCGCTAGCTCAGCCTTCAGGGTCATTCCACAGCTGGAGCTCATTTTATGTCATCGGAATATCAAGGAGTTCAAAAGGGGTTTCATGGGTGAGGGTTGCACATTAAGCCCGACTGGCTTGGAACCTTCGCCGTTCTTGGTTGGATCAAGGCCTTTTTTCAGAGTGGCTACGGCTGAAGTTCAAGGGGAAAATGGCCACGTGACTTGCACACGCTGAAATCAGCGTTAAAACAACTTTCGTGCTGGAAAGAAGTCTATGCCCGGTGGTGCGGTTATCCAGTAGGACCACTGCTACTGCTTGTGGGACCTCCACCCAGTCAATTCTCTTTTGAATTGCGCGCGCCCCGTAATCTGGGCTAAATTTAACCGCATGGCAACCCTTTTACTCCATACGTTAAAGCTTTACCCTCCTTTTATTATGGAAGAAATTAATTTATTTTAGCACCAAATGTCAGTTACAGAAAAAGATCCATGCAAATGATAAGTAAGGTGCCCTTAACACATAATATTGTAGTAATATTTTACCCTGTCCAGATCTCATCCAACCTTTTTGGCCTTGGAGGTTGGGTGCGAACACCGCTCATCAACGACGGTCGAAAACTCACTTGCATAAACAGCTTGCTGAGGCTACGTGAATCGCTCCGAGACCACTAGATGGCAATTTGGCTTCGGTTCTCAAAAATACCAGAGCCGTTAGCCCACAACGATCTACCACCCGGTTTTTCGGCATGGAGGTGTGGACCTCCTAATCCTGAGTCACCCTACTTCCTGTCAGAATCCTCATCCAATGGAGAACGCAAAAACCCTAAACGCGAGCGTGGCTACCTGGGCTTGTAAACACTATCCACATTACGACAATTTTAAGGTAAAAACCTCAGCACTTCTAGTAGTGGATTAGCTTGCTTACACAAAGGTATGCACCGTAAGTGCGGCTAAATTCCAGCGCTACCGCTCCCACAGCCCTCCTAATAAAATAGGTCTCGGAGGCGTCATTGTGTCACTATTGCTCCCTCTGGATCTCAAGAACTCGACCCATGGCCCTCATTTGTTGGGCGCTATCGATGTCGCTAGCGTGGTGAAGTCGGCGCTGGGAGTCCGGATGAGCGTAATTTGGAATGTGCGTATGTCTGTGTGTGGGTTTTCGGCGTTTTCTTTTCACATCGCCGTCGGCGGCCATTGAAACGGCGCTTAATCCAATTTTGAGACGCCCATTATACGAATGGCTCTGCGGTTTCCGCCAGACGAAACGATAGCCCATTTGGGCACATAACAAACTTCTCAATTACCATAACAAACAAGTATTGGAGGAGCAGGAGGAGGAGGAAAGCAGAAGGAGGTACGCATGTCACATATTGGTCAAAGAAGGAAAATCAGGTGTTCTTTTGTGTTTTTTTTTTGTTTTAATTTTTTACTGCAAGAATTTGATCCAACCCAGAAAGATACCAACCCCTGCCGAACACAGGTTGAGGGTAGTGAGGGGATGCGGAGGGGGCTAAGTTCCTACGAAGAATTTACGCGCCTTGTAGGAAAGCA